GTCGGGCTGTCAATCTCCAGGTCAGCAGTTCGAAACTACCAGTGGCTCCATGGGAGAAAGATGAGGTGTTCTGCTCCCGTAAAGATTTATAGCCTTGGAAACCCTGTGCAGGGTCACTATGAGTCAGAACCGACTCCACCGGTACTTAACAGCAACAACAAATGCTCAAGAGCAAGTTTCAGAGTCTGATCTGGCATCCAATTTGGTCTTTTATATTTTTCCTGTCTTTTTAGTTACTTCTTGATTTCTTCATGTATGATGAAGGAAAATGATATAGGTCAGAAACTCATACCTACATAAAGGAAAAGAGTTGGAGAAGAAAAACAAATCTTTGTTTTTATTCTTACTAGATTTAAAAGCTAATTGTTTAATAATAATAACAATGTATTAGGTGACTGTAGCGTATGTTATTGTTGTTAGGTGTCTGAGTTGATTCCATCTCATAGTAAAGCCATATAGGCTTTCCAAGGCTATAAATCTTTGAGGAAGCAGACAGTCTCATATTTCTCCCACAGAACGCTTGGTGGATCTGAACTGCTAACCTTGTGGTTAGCAATCCAGTGCCTATTCTACAGCACAACAAGCACTCCTGGATAAGTGAAACAAATGGCAAGATAGTTGTAGGAAAGTTGAGAAAAGAATTGGGAATATTCTGTTGTTATAAGCGACCAACACTACATGTGAAATAGTATACACACAGTCCCTGGGTTATTAATGTCTGACTTACAGACTACTATTAGTTATGAATCAATCATCATGCATCTTTCTTTGAGCACAAGCCCAGAGTATGGGCTTGGGAAAAGGAAGAGTGGAATTCTGCCTCCTATCCCTGCACCCCCTCACCACCCCTCCTTCTCCTGCAGAAGCTGGGGGTGCTTCCTGAATCTACCCAATCCCACACCTTGGGCTCCTGTCTGGAACCAAGCCCAGCAGTAGTGGCACAGAGGTTGTATAGGCTGAGCAACAGTCTGACACATCCACTGTGACCCCAGAACCAGTGTGGGCTGCCTGAGGCTGGAGGGACCTGGGCAGAACATGACCATCCACACCACTCCATCAGCAGTTGACACATTAGCATTGTCCACTCTCAGGCATGGCACCTCAACCCCAGCTGTTTCCATCCTGGCCCAGATTTACCTTGGCAATGTCCCCAACTTGTGTTGTGCTGCCTGAGCCACATGCCAGTTTCCTGGGGCCAGTGAGGAGGGAGGGATGCAATGCTGGCCTCCACTGCCAGGTCAAGCATGGGCCTATCAGCTATGCCTCTGGCAACATATGATGGTTCCTATTAATACATTATCATTATCATTAAAGGGTTATTATGCTAAAGATATTCTGGTGTAGCTGGAAATAATTCTTTAAAGTTTTTTATGCATAGAAAGCATACTGTATACTAAGACAAACATTTGACTAACTAACATTAAGTACAAATGGTGCCTAACTGTTCTGCTTTATGGACAAATTTAGTTTAAAGAATGGTTTAGGAACAGAATGCTTCATAATCCAAGGATTATCTATAGTTTTATTTAGAGGCAGTCTTAGATTAGTAAAAAAAATGAATAATGATTAAAAAGAGATAAACGAAAAGTAATTGAGAAGAGATTTAAAATACAATTCTGATTGAAAGAAGAGTGTGACAGATCAGATTAAATTGTATCCCACCAAATACAGGCTAAATTCTTGGCTTTTATACTTGTGGATATGATCCTCTTTGGAAATGCAAGGTGTGAAGTTGTTATGTTAATTAGATATGATCAATGTAGGGTAGGTCCTAAACTAAATCATTTCTAAATTATAAAAAGACCAGAATCAATACGGAAGCAAAAATACAGGGTGAAGAAGACACCATCTAAAGACAGACATACATGGAAGATGCATTTACAAGTCCTGAAACACTAAGGATTTCTGTCTACTAGAACTGCAATAGACAATTCATGCAAGAGCATCATTTTTACAGCTTTCTGAACTGTGAGAAAATAAATTTATGTTCTAAAAGCCTCCCACTTTTGGTACTTCTTTTACAACAGCACTAGGAGAAAAGATTGAGGTTGTCAAAGACTTCATTGTGCTCAAATCAACCATCTACCCTCATGGAAGCAGCAGTCAAGAAATCTAACAATGTATTGCATTAGGCAAATCTTCTGCACAAGATCTCTCTAAAGTGTTGAGAAAAAAGATGTCAGTTTGTAAACTAAGGTGTGCCTGACCCAAGCCACAGTATTTTCAATAACCTCATATGCATACGAAAGTGTGACAGTGAATAAGGAAGACCATAGAAGAATTGATGCATTTGAGTTATGATGTTGATGTACAATATTGAAAAGACCATGGACTGCCAAAAGAACAAGTAAATTTGTATTGGAAAAAGTACAGCTAGAGTGCTCCTTGGAAGCTAGAATGGCCAGATTTTGTCTCTCATATTTTGACACATTACCACATGGGACCAGTCACTGGAGAAGGATATCATGTTTGATAAATCAAAAGGTCAGAGAAAAAGAGAAAGACCCCCAACGAGATGGATTGGCACAGTGGCGGCAGTGATGGGCTCAGGTTTAGCAATGATTGTGAGGTTGTCCCAGGACTGGGCAGTGTTTCGTTCTGTTATGCATAGAGTCACTATGAGTCGGTGTCAACTCAATGGCACCTAACAACGACAACCGGTAACCAAGACAGAGGGACGTAAATTAGAAAATCTGTAAAAGAAAACACTTGTGTGCACATATATGAGACTGAGGAGAGGAGCACTGAGGAGAACAACACAGATACATGGAAATGTCTTGACAGAGAGGAGTCAGCAGTATTCTGCCTAGTTCCTAGAGACAGAACTGGTACTAGTAATTAGGAGTAATACAGAAGAACAAGTTGATGAACAAAAAGATGAATTTTCCAGACTTTAGAGTTGTTCCGATATAAGATGGACCAATTGGGAAGTAGTCATCTCCCATCAATAGAATGTTTTAAGTAAAGGCTGGATGATTACTGTTAGATATATCATAAGATAGTCTCCTGCATTGGGTCAGAAGATTGGAGGAGTGAGGAGAAGGAAACCACAAAACAATTTTAAAATCACTTTGAACTTTACAATTCCATGACCCCACTTCCTGTGTACACTTTAATGTTAGAATTCTCTTCACTAGAAAAATACCACCTTTGAAGGCGTAACCAAGATGGCAGACCAGGCAGTTACATTATCTAGACCCTCTACAACAAAGACAAGACACACCAAGTGAGATGGATACAGATGGCAATCCTGGAACGCAGTTTCAAAGGAACCGATAAAGAAGTAAAGCCAATATGAATTAGACTAAGAGGCTAAATTAAATTAAACCTGTAACAAAGGAGTCACGTGGAACCGTGAACTGCCAACAGGTGTGGCCTTTTTTAATTATTGCAGGCAGCGGTACTATTAGACAACATTCAGATAACCAGCTCCACTGGTCTAGGACTCGCCTGCAACCACAACAGAGAGGTGTGATCGCTCCCCCCTACCAGCACCACCACGTGACACACATAACCTCCCAGTGACTAGAGATGTAGCACCCCCACATCCTCACCTACCTGGCAGCTGGTCAAACCTTCCTCACTGCCGGTACAGAGCCATTTTAAACTCCTTTCTTCATAGTTCTTCCCTCTCCCCTCTTGTTTCATTTTGTATTTTCTTTCTTGTGTTTTCTTCTTCCTCTTTCCCTCTCCCTTTTCCTCTATTTTTTTGTTAGCACTGACTGAACTGTGAAACACAAAGTTAGTAGTTCAAACCCACCAGCTGATCTTTGAAAACCTTATACAGGGCTGATAGGAGTCGGAACTGACTAGAAGGCACTTAACAACAACAACAATAAAAAAGTTTATAGTACAAAAAATTTTAAAACCTAGAAGACATGTATAAATTTCAAGAAACATACTACTTATCCAAACTAACATAATCTGAGGTAGAAAATTTGAACAAATTCATCACAAAAGAAGAAACCGAACAGGTCATTAAAAAAAAAAAAAAAAGCCCAATTAAAAACAGTACTGACCCAGTTAATTTCACTGGTGAATTCCTCCAAACATTCAGAGAAGAGCTGATACTAATCCTGTTCAAAACTATATCAGATCATCGAAAAGCAAGGAATACTTCTGAACTCATTCTATGCAGCAAGCATAATCTTGCTACCAAATCCTGGCAAAGACACCCGCGGAAAAGAAAATTATAGATCAATATCTCTCATCAAAATATCAGGAATACAAGGATGGTTCAACAGTAGAAAGACAATCATTATAATCTACCAATATGTAAAACAAAGTAAAAGAACCATATGATCCTATCAATTAATGAAGAAAAGGCATTTGACAAAATCCAATACCCATTCCTGAGGGGAGAAAAAAATCAACAAAATAGGAATACAATGGAAATTCCTCAACGAAGGGCACATATGCAAAACCAGTGGCCAATTATTCTCAATGGAGGGAAAAGGACTACAACAAGGATGCCTTTTGTCACAACTCCTATTCAATATTGTACTGAAAATCCTAGCCCCAGCAATACAGCAATAAAAGCAAAATACAGGATATTCAAATTGACAAAGAAGCCAAATTATCTCTAGTTGCAGATAAAATGGTCCTATACATAGAAAATCCCCTAGACTTCAACAAGAAAATTACTGGACTTAATATAAGGATTCAACAAAATCAACAAGTAAAAATTAGCCAGATTCCTCTAGAATATCATAGAGAACTCTGAAGAGGAAATTAAGAAAACAATACCATTTACAACAGTCATTCAAAATATTAAGTACTTAGACATAAATCAAACCAAAGACACAAAAGATCTATACAAAAATCTACAACACATTACTATGAAAAACCAGGAGACTTACATGAGTGGAAGAACATGCCATGCTCATGGATAGGGAAATTTAACATTCTGAAAATGTCACTACTACCCAAAGGGGTCTACAGGTATAATGCAATCCAAATCCAGATTCCAGCATTAGTCTTAAAAGATATGAGAACCTGGTTCACGTGGCAGCTGCGACAGCAGCGTCTCTGTGAGGAGGCGCAGAGCCATGACGTCAGCATCCACCAAGGTCGGAAAGATATTCTCTGCATCTGGCGCAGCCTTCATTAAGCTGGAGGATCTGATGATGCAGCTGCATCCGGTGGCTGACCGGGGGTGCGAAGTGGACCGAGACGGAAATAGAGATGCTGAGGGCTGCTGTGAAGCGATTTGGGGACGATCTTAATCATATCAGCTGTGTCATCAAGGAACGAATAGTGGCTCAGATAAAGGCCACAGTGAAGCGCAAGGTATATGAAGACTCTGGCATCCCCCTTCCTGATGAGTCACGCAAGAAAGGGCCCAAGAAGTTGGCATCTGGTGTTTTGTCACCTCCTCCAGCAGGCCCTCCACCCAGCAGTTCCATTGTCCCTGAGGCCGGGGAACCCCCATAAAGAAGCAGAAGGCTGATGTGACTCTCAGTGCTCTGAACGACTCCGATGCCAACCGTGACCTAGTGGATATTGAGGGGTTAGGAGAAACTCCGCCAGCCAAGAAACTCAACTTTGACCAGGCCTGACCCTGGATTCTGGCCTTCTTATGACCTCTGCTGACCCTCC